TTTTTTTTCTTCTATCATATCATCATTTTTGTTATTTATGTCATTTATTTATATATTTTTAAAATAATGTATGTATATTAGGATGTCCTAAAGAGATCAATAAATATTATTATTATTCATTTCAGAGCAAGTGTGATCGACTTGCTTTTCCACATTCTGAATCGGAGTCTAGGTAAGTACCTAAGAATTTGACTTCAAAATAGTTTTCAATATCACTTACATTAGAAGTATCTGAGTTATCTATACATAAAAAAAAATCAATGACACAGTGTTCAAAATAAGTTTGTTTTCAGATCTGCTGCTAAGTTGTTCAACATTATTTTCAGATACAGCTATGTTAGTTTCATCAATCAACATTGTTACGTGGCATTTACTTTATTTTGAAGTAGGTTTTGACATTAAGAGGAACAGTAGTGGTCCTAGAATCGAGCCCTGAGGTACGTCAAGTTCAAGTGTTTTTGGAAAGAGGATTACTTATTACTTATTCTCTCACTCACATAAGATAAGGCCCAATTTTTAATATCGCCTATAACAATATAGAAATTTTAATAGCTTTACACGTTTTAGTGTGTTTATAAAATTTTGTAATTAGTAAGGGATGAACAGATAAGTCGTTTAAAAACCTTGTAATATTTTAGAGAATGAATACTCACAGAATTAGTATAAATACACCAATCTGCGTCGCCATTGTCAAGTAAAAAATGGCATGTGGATTGCTGTGTATGGTAGCGGAGTACAAAGCACTATAACATACTCCAGATATTAATGGTATAGCGTTATCAGCTGCAGCAAGAACTGAGAATGCCTTTCCTGAAATGGTGACAATCAGTAAAGAAAATTGTTTTTTATTTCTTACTGTTCATTGAAACAATAAAAAATTCAAAGTTTGTCTTTCTTACCTTTCTCTGAACTTGTCACTATTTTAGAAACCAATGATCTTACAACAGGTGCAACAATGGGTCCAAACGAGGCAAAAACACCCCCTGAAACACAAATATTTTATTGCTGACTTTGTCATTATTTCAAAAAAATATCTAAACCGTGGATAGCAAATGATATCGTTTGAGATGGAAAAACATTAAAAGATACATTGATTCTGAAAGTTAAATTTGAATGTTTGAGCTTATTTTTGGCCAAATAAATAAAGGTACATAATTTGAATTTATGTAAGGATGACAAATCTAATAGTTTTTTTGGTTATACAAGTTGAACTCCTTGTAGTTCAACTTGTATATACACTTTATAATTTTGTTCTGAAGTTTTTTAATTGGTTTCAATAAGGAATTTGTTGTCATTCCCCATACTGACATAAGATATTGAATTTTAGAATATACTAACGAAAAATTAATTAATTTAAGGTGTTTTAGGGGTACAATGTTTCTTATTTTGAATAAAATTCCAATGAGGAATGTTCCTCAATTTGGGTTATTACAGCAAATGCAAGTTTGAACAAAATAAAGTTGAGTTCTGTGTCACAATTTTTTCGAAATCCGTATTGCCCATCATATAATAATTTTGTCTTTTCAAGATATTCAAACAATCTAGAATGTACTGATTTCTCAATAGTTTATATAATACTGGTAAAACTGAAATTGGTCTATTATAATTCGTCATTTGGTCTTTTTAACCTGCTTTAAATAATGGTTTTACTTTGTCAATTTTAGCATTATTGGAATGTTGAAAAAAAAATCAAACCGATTTCAGGATTACTATAGTTACAAATATATTTGTTTCTTAAGATTGATAAAGATTATTATTATTGTTTCTAAAAATATCTTATATTCTCACCTATATAAAACGCTAACGTCTCTTTGGCAGTAGAATAAAACACCCTAGCAGTCGTGTGTGCAGCAGCTCCAATCATGATAATGACAGTGTCCCTCCAATCAAACAACCTGCTCATCACCGGAATGGCAAACAATAGAACGAGATCTTGTAGACCTGATTGGAATGTACGAAAAGTGCTGAACTGATTCAAGGTCCAATTGAAGGCTAGCTGGCAGTACATGTACATCACTTCTCGTTCGTCTCGTTGAAAAACATACAGGGCCGTCATAACAATCAGCATGAGGAGGAATCTTCTCTTGTTATCTGGACGTTTCTTACCGAGAGTTTGGATAGTATCCTTGACATGATTGTAGTCAAAGAAGTCTAGGAATATGTTGTTAGCCTCTGACAGAGGTTTTTGTGTAGGGCTGCTTCTCCATTCCAACCTTAGCAACGTATATATGACGGCAGATAGCATTAGGGTTGTATTGATGAGGAACATGTATGTATATGACTGGTTTAGCACCTTTCTGAAGAGGTAGGATCCTGAAACGGTTCACAAATGAATACAATTTTATAAGATAAGGGCTTCGTGTACAATAATTTTGATGTTATAGGGTATGTAAGTGAATATATAGAAAACATATGGTAAATTTAATGAGAGACATATACGTCTCATATGTCTCCAAAAAATTTAATGAAATTGTAGAGGTCTTTGCTATTGATAGTACACTCTGAAATTTATACATTATTGACAGAAAATAATATATTTCTTTTAACAAATGCATGATTAACTAATTTAATAAGTGAAAGTACCTCCTTTTGTATGAAGTATTTCTTGTAACTAATGCAACTGATGTAACTTTTCCAGTCTAACCTAGAATCATCACTTATGATTCAGAGTTTTAAGAATGTGATTTCAGTTCAATGAATTTCAAGTTATCAAGGAGAAATATTTTTTGTTGTATGTCAAGTGATATGAACATATTAATATATGGTTTAGATGAGTGAGATTGTTGGTGTATACAATAGTCCTAACATTGATCCCTGTGGTGCCCCACAGGAACATTCATGACAGTAAATTTTTTTAGATTCTAGAAATTCTCTGCTTGGACATATCCACTATATAGACACTTTTCTGCAAAAATGTTTCAGTAGCAGCTATCTCATATTTCTCATAATCAGTTTTGCTAATTACATCCCTAGTCTATTATAAAGATACTACAAATGGATATTACAAATGGATATTTAGGATACACCAAAGACATGAAATATAAAAATAGCTCAACACTTACCTACCTAAAGCTACACCTGTGGGCATTGTTGCTAAGTAGCACACCTCCAGAATAGTCACCCTTATGGTTCTGTTTTTCTGAGAAGACACGTCGACAAGATATGTAATAGCTGCAGAAAAAATAGCTACATCTGCTCCAGTGAGAGCTGAAGGAAAAGTTGCCGTATATATCACATATTCAACTGGCCAATCCTTTTTTAGAGTGTTCACCACTATCATAGCAGAGAAGTAGAGTTTACCGAAAAGGCCTAGAAGGAGAGGTAATTTTCTTCCTCGTTTATCAGACCAAGCTCCCATGAAAAAAGCTAATACTATTGGAGCAGCATGACCAGCAATGCTATTCCACATGTGGAAAGTAGCTGATGTCAACTGTGATAGAAAAAAATAAAGACAATAGTATCCAACTTAGAACTTAATAAAACAGGGCAAAACAAGGAAAGTTATAAGCTAATGACAAAATATTGATTACCTGGACTTCTTTGGTTATATTTTCGTACTTCTTATCATTAATATTGTTGCATATTGTTTCATTATAGCCGTGGTTTACTGTGCACGCTTTATATATGTAAAATGATTGCTCCACTACGCTGGTTGTCATGAAAGCCATCATATAGAGAACCATAGTGGGCTCGACGGTTATGTAACTCAGGTAATGCTTGAGCTTATTTCCATATCGAAATGTTGGCTCATGGTCCATCTAAAATAAGTAATTTTCTGGAAAGTGATTGTTGAATACAGTATCTCAGGTTATACGGTGGAGTATTTCTTCATTGAAATTTTCACTTAATAGAACTATATGAATGTTGATGCAGGTGTGATATAGTGTATACAGGTTGTCTAAAAGGTTTAAAATTCAAAATTCTCACAAGAGTAAAGTACCCTTGATTTAAAATCTTCAGAAATGCTATTTAGGGAAATTGTTTCAACAGTCATTTCAATAATAATAATACATTTATTAATCCCAAGAAACACATGTTTATAGTTGGGACAATGTAACATTTTATAAGATAGTTCCCGCTCCTCATTTTTCTTTGAGGTTATGTGACAATCCCGCAATATTGGAAAATCAATTTATAAATAACAAAAGCCTTGATTACTATTATCACCGTATAGAAGTACGGTGCTATAATTTGAAAGTCCTTAGAGCGAGTATTCCAAAGTCTTGAAGTATACCAAAATAGTTGTATATTTTATAAGTTTGTATATACTCACGTCAGAAACTTGATCAATTATTTGATAATTTGTAACTGACATTGTCTCTGATAACTTTTAATGAATTTCAATTAAGAAGTCTAGGATACTAATAACATTGCATCAAACATTACTGTCTTGTGCTCATCTGAAATTTTAAATTACAGTCTCATTTCTCAAGGTTTTCCAAACAAAATTATAAATAATTATTCACATAAACAATGTTCTAATGTTTCAAATTCCATGAAAAATAAGTTTTTCATACAATAATAGATTCATATTTTAATGAAAGGTAAATTAAAAAAGTATAAACATCGAATATCGAATCATGAATCATAGACATAACAAATAAATGTTATAAATGTCAAATATATACCTGTAGTTAGGGATTATGTGATCAGGGTTCCCAGCTTAGTGGTTCTCCCCAAATTTAGGAGAAAAAAAAGAAGTGGAATGAGAGTATTATACTTTTAGGGATATTTTTAGGGATTTTTATAACTTCAATTTTTCATGGTTCGATTCACGCTGCAACGGAATCCTGCACAACATTTCAACCGTTCCCAAAAATGTTAAAATTATTCAGTGTCAACATGTATGACTCTAAAAAGTCAGAATCTTAAGAAAATGATTAGTTACTTGAGTTTCAGATGATTTATGAATGAATGGAAACTGAGAAATATTGCTGAATGACATTATTAACTGATTGTTTTGAATTTATCATTTGTTTGATATTTTATTATCAATTAATTATTTTTGATATATTATTTACGTAAAAATATTGAATTATATATTTCATGAATAATGACATTTTTTTAAGGGGGAATTCCTAGTTTTTAGGGGGTTTTGATTGGGTCTTTAGGGGGATACATTTTTGAGTATTGGGAGCACTGCTGGGCGTGACGTCACAGAATAGTAGCTATTCTGTGGTTATGTCTCTTTACATATATTTCAAACGCGGACTTGGCCATTGCGTCACAGCTTCATGTGACAAATCAAATCCAAAAATTTTCACATGGGAATATGTAACATGAAGAACATCGTGACGTTGTATACTACGTTAAATGTATGAGTGATGTGAATCTCTTCATTTTTTTTAGTTGTTGGAGTCAATGTTCTCTCTTCATTGGCCAGTCCATATTAATTATTTGTCACTGCATCGAATATGTACAGCACGAAACGACAAGTTTGTCTTAGTTTTTTCTTCTTCTGTAGTGGCCTAAGCTATTGGGGATATTCTGACAAAAGGTTCACTGAGTCAAATGGGGTAACAGTAAAGTGAATCTGGATAACAGTCCATCCCTACTTGGAAAAAATAGGGAAACCCAATCTGTAATATAAATTTCACTTTGGGAAACCAGACAGTAGTCACTCTAGTGGCATTGAGGTTTTGTGGTCATGAACAGTGAAAAAGGATATCATTTAATAAAATTTCTTGAAAACGACACTTACTGATGCAGGGGGCAGTTTAAGAATATATGCCATAAATCCTGTCTGAGGGCACAGTCATGGTCAAGTTGATATATATTTGAATCAAAATGTAATAAATGTAAATAACATTTATGATTTACATTTCGATTTTTACATCATCTATCAACATGAGTGCAAAGTTGGTCAAAAACAAAAGCGAATTGGTTCAAACACAGGGTTGCTATGCATTTTTCCTATTGTATCTATCTCACCACTAAGATTGCTTTACCATACGTTTTATATGGAAACGCTTGCTAGTTATTTTTTTATTTACATTTTATAACTCATAGATTTTGTCTCTATATATTGCATTTTCTATTTTGTAGAAAAATAAGGTCTTCAAAATCCTCACAAAATTATATTTCCTGTCAAAATTTGATATATCTCGTTGAAATAAATAACGTCTTTTAGAAACATTCTATAACTGAAACTATTCCAGAGAACTATTCTAGAGAACTATTCATTTTATGATTACTTGACAAAGCTACTGTGCTAGCGAAACATGTTGTGATATATTTTTCAAATAAAGTTTGTGGAGATCAAATCGTGAGGTGTAGTTTTTGATTTTTATGAAAACTTATGACCTTTTTCACTTATCGAGATGACAACTTATTCAGATATTTACAATCCTTTGAACATAAAATAACATTTTCAACAAATATCTCCTGAATTGTGACAAGTATAACAGTCCCGTGAAGGAAATTTTCTGAGCAATTTTGGAGCGGATACTCAAATAATTCCTGAACTATTCCTTCATAAAACAACACTATAGCAATTGAAAAAATTTCACATATTTTTGGAGGAACTTGAAAAGTTCAATATAATTGACTCTTTGCTTATTTTCGATATAATTATCGATGAAGACGAACTGAATTTATGTGTAATGGTACTTGTGAACCATACCATGGGGGATGCTTGTAATGTATTGTATCGATGAATATGAATGAGATTCACTCTAGTGCACTCCTTTGCATATTCGTGGTGCAGCAGAATTAAATTAATTCTGAGCGTTGCAATATCTGGTTTCAGGAAACGTCTGGCGAAATGTAATGGAGTAACTGAATATAAAAAGTTTTTTGATAAAATATCTTTTGAGTCCGGAAGGGCCAATTTTTTTTTTTAATTCGAAATTTCAATATTGCAAATTTGATGTCTGAGAACAGTTTTGTTAAATATAGCTGACATATTTGTGATCAACAGAATGCAATGGGACATAAATTATGTTATTTCATTCCCCGAGTTCTATTCGTCACCGTAACATGACTTCAAATTTAATTTCATGACTCTTCAGCCAATCATGAAACTCGGTTAGTAAAAATCATTTAATATGAAACGTCAAGTCTACAGTCCACGTGGACTAGTTCGGTGCCGGTTCATTTCTATGTATTAGTTTTTTGGCCTTTGAGTGCCGCCAACTTTAAGAGTGCACAATATCGTTTACTTCGACTGTAACAGAAACTAGAATGGATTTACTGGGGAATATATTACTGTGCGAATTGAAGATAAATGTAAATAAGATAGAACCAATAAAAATGGTGCACTACGCGACGGACTGTGGCTGCTCATCGTTTTGAGGTTCAACTCAGTACACCTAGCACTTCACTGTTTAAGAGCTCTTTCATTTGGAGAACTGCGCACGAGTGGAATAAACTTCCTGTTTTTCCAAATGGATTTAATCTCCAGCGATTCAAATTCAATGTGAATCACTACTTTCGCATAGGCACCGCTCTTAGAGCGCCTTAAGGAGTTCATGTAGTGCTTGTGTTTTGTCCTTAAAAAAACAAACAAATGATGTGTAGAAGTGAAACACAATTTTTGGGAAAGGTTTTGATTTTCTACTTCTCCATCTTCATACAAGAATTGTGGGAATCTTCCAAAGATTGCAAAGATAAGATAATTTATATCACCACGTTACATAATAAAATGTTTGTAGCAAGTCAAAAAATAGCATGAAACTAATAATGAAAATATTATAAAAACAAACGAGAAACACAAATACAAAAATATAAGAAGAAAATTGAGTATGTATGTTGACATTATAAACATTTAAAATTATTTACGTATTATTCGACAGAATAGAAGCAAAAACTCAAAAGATAATTTTTTATTGTTTTTTTTTGAATTTGTACATACTAAGAATTTTGAAACTATCGAAAAGATAGTTGTAGAGGTTGAAATTCAGTGTGTTCTTTCGTGATTTACTCAAACGATAACGGTTTGTCCGAAATTTTTTACAATGTCTGGTATCATAGTCAATGAAGTTCTGATTGCTTGATTAATGAAGTTGATTTTTTATGAATTTCTATGACAACGTTGTACAAAAATAATGTGAGTAACGGCATTATTCTCAATTTCAAAAAGAGAGGTAGACAATCATCCCTATAACCAGAATTAGTAATTATTCTGAGAGATTTTTTCTGCAATTTGAAAATGTTTACACCCCCAGTTGAGGTTACCCCAGAGTATAACACCATAGCTATAATAGCCAATGTGAAAATGGAAAAGGGAGAAATATGTTATTTTCAGTGTATCAAAACTAGTTATATTTCTCAACTGACTCAATAAAAAAAGAGTTCCAGATAATTTTTTACTCAATTGGTCAATATGACAGGTCCAAGTGAGAGTACTATCGACAACTAACTCAAGTAATTTAACACTATTTGCACTTGATGTAGCTGCAGAACTTGCTGAAAACTGTGACTGTTGCGTTTTGTCTGTATTCAGTTTGAGTCGATTTGACACGAACCAACTTTCTGCATTCTCATCGACTTCCTTTGATATTCTATAGATAGTTCAATAGAATTTTTGTCAGAGTAAATAAATGTAGTGTCATCGGCAAACAAAACAGATTTATATAGATGCATGAAGTTACTAATGTCATTCACGTAAATTATGAATAGAAGTGGTCCCAATACTGATCCATGGGTAACACCATGTTTAACGAGTTTTAAATTCGAAATGCTATTATTGCTACTGACTGCTTGATATGATGTATAGTAACCTTCAGACATAAACTGGAAGGAAAAACCCTCTCGAAACAGCTACGAATGTTTTCCAATGCGGTGGAAAGGTAGAAGGGGTCTAGTGGAGTGGCCAGCTAGATCACTAGATTTCACACCTTTGTGAAATATTCTTTTCTATTTACTAGGACATTTGAAAAACAACTCAACTGGATTAAATTATGACTGATACATTTCTAGGAGTGCTTACGTTGAAAAAATGTCCTTGAAACAGACCTAAAATATTAGGTGGTCTACCAAAAATGAAAACAAAAATGAAAAATGCTTTACAAACACTATATAAAGCCCACCATGAAAACAAAAGGTTTAGAAAGATTAACACAGTTAATGCCTTCCCACGTTAACATTTTCTCCAATCAACTTCAATCAACCCTCGTCAATCAGCTCCCTATTATTTTCCAATAAAACTCAATAAACCACGTTTGATTCGAATATAAAAAGCTCCCTCCTTGACATTCCTGGATACCACCATATCTTTCAACTGGTAATAAACAGTAGTAAAAAGGTGCGGGTCTGGCAACAATACTGACTTTATAACCCTGTATAACTGTAGCCGTACATTCAATGGTCCCTTGTGTGAATCATTCATTTTCTTTATTAACGACTCGGTTGCTCCAAATCCGTCAGACATTCCACATGGTCGACGTCATGGATTATCTTCAAGTGGGTGGAACAAAAGGTTGCTTGAGAATGGCTGTCTAGATGCACTTTAGGTCAATAAAAATATCTGAGAGATCTGATTTCAGGAAGAGATTATGCACGAACATTAAGCGACTATCGTTCTTGAAGAGATTGAAAGATTAATGAAATGGTATA